CGCCTCCCGGGACCTTCGCCTCCGGGCTGCCCGCCGGCCCGACAGCTTGGCTCGCCTTCCGTCCGGCCTTCTCCTATCCTGACCTCGCCTCTTCCAGACCTCCCTTTCCCTTCCCTTTCCTTCCCTTCTTCCTTCCTTCCCTTCTTCCTTCCCCCCATTTTCTGACTTTATCATCTTGTAGATTTCACTTTCCTCCCTCCCTGCCTTTCCCTTCCCCTTCCTCCCTTTTCCCTCCCTTCCTTCTTAACTGATTTCACAATTTTATCAACTTTCCTTTCCTTTTCACTTTCAATTTTCTGCCATCTTCCAGACTTTCCCTGGCTCCCTCCCTTCCTCTTCCTTCAGATTTTCCTTTCCTAATTCCTTCCCTTCATCCCTTATTTTCTGATCTCACCATCTGACCGATTTTCCTTCCCTTTCACTTCCAAATTTCCGACCCCCCATCTTCACCACTGTCGTTTCCTTCCTTCCTTCCTTCCTTCCCACTTTTTCTCTCCCGGTCTTCTCTAACCTCCCACAGTATAATTAGAAGGGGGCCCTTCAGACCTTCATCCTCAGAGGCTCCAGGTTTCTGCAGTCTTGCCTGGGTCTTCCTGCTGCTTCTGAATTGACGCTGCACCCCCATCTTCAGGAAAGCCACTGAGCCCCACTTGAGTGACCCCAAACACCTGCCTTTGAGGACAATCTGGCAGCATTGACCTGGGATGACCCTCACATGCATCTCTCCCCTCCATCTCTTTTGCTTTCCATCTCTTTGGACTAACCTCCTCCTTCTTTCAAGGACTCACAACTCTTTTGCTGCTCAGAACATCTAACTGTGACTGTGTTTGTTGAATCTATACATTAATATCTCTGCTTCTTGATGATTTCGCCCTTAAAATGATTCCCACCTGCACCAATTCTTATTTTCCTTTCATTGGACCATCACAGGCAGAAACAGCGAGGACAGAATTATGATGGGACTGAGAAGAGTTTGAATGAGACTGAATACTACTGAAACAGTTCGCTTTCCTCGGACTCCTGTGACGGATGGAGATTTGGACCCTTGTATTTGGGGCTGGTGAAGGAAAAAAATTCTTGGACCTTGTTGTTCCAGTTTGAATAATACTTGAAGCCAAAGTGGTCGGAATTTTGGCCTGCGCTATGCGAGAAAAAGGCAACTTGGATAACATTTTGCAGTCTGATGACCTCACCTTACTCCGGGTGAAACTTCGGACGTTGGAAGATGGAACAAGGGAAGATGAGTCCTTAAAAGCCGGCGTAGTGACACGGTGGAACTGTGCGTTGGGTGAACCTACGCTGTGCTGAAGGAAAGGAAAAGCGTGTGTCTTTCTCTGAACTTCGGAGCTTGGAACACATCTGTGAAGTTTTCTGTCCATTCAGAAGACCGCGTCGTCTCGTGTGGGGAAATCTACCTTTATGGGTCAACAGCCTGGAAAAGTTCTGGGGGACCAACGGAGGCCGAGTCTCCCCGCCCTGCACTTTATCAAGGGTGGGGTAAAGAAAGAAACATCAAAGCAGGGGGGGACCCATTGCAACGTCTTTCTGGAGCATGGTAAGATTCCCAGTGTGTTTTCAGCATGTGGGCGGGTTGGCACGGCAGGCTTAAAAACTAGTGGGTGAATTTGCATGCCGGGCGAAGCTTTTAGGACTTAAAATATGGCGTGAAGCTAGCCTGTTGGAGAAGTTTCCAACTCCGTCGACGATGCACGTCTGAGAATGGGTTAATGAAGTAACTAGGTTCTGAGTGTTGTATGGACATTAGGGGAACTGCCTGACTCGGCTTTTCTCATCTGGGGGTCTTCTGGAGTGTTGGGATCAATCCCAGAAGTCTCGTGATGCCCAAGGAATGCTGGGAATTGGAGTCCTCACATTTATGGTGGGGTTCCAAGTTGGGGGAGGTTACATCGGCCTGTGTTAGCTAGTATAACTCATTTATGAAATGGGTAGAAATTCTGCATTGATAGCTTTGAGTTCAGAATATGTGTAAAGAATTGCAGAATCTTGCTGGGTTTTTCTGAAGTTGAAGATGAAATTGTGTTACGCATGTTTCAAAATGATATTCTGGGTCACGTAACTTTTAAAATGGTCATTGTTAACAGGAGGCTAACACGGGATCACGGATTCCGCCTATGTACATAATACTCATCATGCTGTTTGCTTTTTGGGGTTATACAAACCAGTATTGTGGTTG